CGCCCCGCGCCCCGCCCCAGCCGCCGCCGCCCGCCCCAGCCGCTTAATCACCGCCCGCCCGTCCGCATTAGCATAGTAATGGCCTTTAAATTGAGCCTCTTTGTTTTTTAATTAAGCTCCCAGCAGGTACAGAGAAGAGCGATTATTGAGGAAGCTGCCAGCGCTAATCGCCCGCAGTCATTTGACAATTAAAAAGCGCCCGGCTTTAACCCTTTCCGCGCGCCCGCGGCGGTCTCCCCAGCATTTATCCTGCGCCGACTGTGTGCACGCCTTCCCACGGCCGTCCTCCGACAGCCCTACTCGTGGCACTCCCATTTTACTGAGGAGCAAAGGAGGCGCTGGGAAAGAGGTTAACTTGCCCAAGACAAACAGCCGGGGGTGGGGTTAGGGGGCGGGCGGCGCGAGGCCCGGCCAGGTCTCCTGCCTGGAACGCCATCCCGCCGAGTCTTCTGGTCCGCCAAGGTCTTCCCACCTGCACCGCAGCAACTCGGCCTCCGAGGGCGCCTGGGCGTCCTCTCCCATCGCCAGGCCATCAAGGCCCCGAAATACTGCCGTGGTGGTTACCGGGGTGGGGGGCAGAATGGGGGGCCTGGGGCAGCTCGGGCTGGGATGGGCAGTGAGTGTGAGGGGGCCACTTTCCTGAGGCCCAAGGCACAGGCTGAGGCCAAGGCCGTGGGAGAGTTGGCCGATGGGGATGAAAAGGAAGGCTTAGTAGCCCTGCAGGAGGTGAATGCCCAGCTCAATGCCTAGTCCCGGGAGGAGGCGCACAGGAGGAGGCAGCCAGAGGGATGGTGACCGTTTCATTGAAACCTTTTTGTAACTTAAACAAGAATTGTATTTCTGAATAGGCAATGCAGCCCCTGGAGTAATATTCAAATGAACCCAGCGCTGTGGACTGTCTCCTCCCACCCTGTCCCTCCTCACCCAAGCCCCACCCAGAGGCCCAGAGGCCTGTGGGAGCCTCCCCGGAGCTAGCTAATACTCACAAGCACCGGGGAACAACCATCCTCCTGCCTTCTTTCATTTTTAGAAGAACTGGCTGAGGTTCTTTTCTTTAAGAACTAAAAATCACAAGCATGCATATACTTGAGAAGCTGTCCATGTCCATGTGTCGGAGAGGACTCCACCTCACAGCCTGGGTTACAGCCTCTGTTGTACTGGCAAACCCTCATTTCTCCAATCCATACCCTGTGGAGGGCCTGGTGGGCCATTTAAAGGACAGAGGCGGGGCAGCTAGGCCTGGGAGAGGGGAGGGTGCTGGTCTCTGCAGGTGAGGCTAGTGGGAGTTTGGGGCTCAGAAGTGGGAGGGGGCAGTATTAAAGGGGTGGAGGTGTGAATGAAAGAACCCTGGCTAACTGCTCAGCTGCTAACAAAAAAGTGGGCATTCTGAGCCCACCAGGAAGACAAGGCAGCCTGCTTCCCTGAAGAAACCGGGTCGGTCCTATAGGGTCGCTGTGAGTCAGTATGGAACCCATAGCATCCAGCAACCTCCAGGCGACATGAAACGGATAGTATGGCTTTGGGGTGGACAGGGGAGGAGGGGCCCAGGAAGGTGCCATTCTAAGAGGAGGGGCTGGGGCCATGAGGAGATGCCTGGGGATGGTTACCACATCATGTGGAGCCCACAGCTGGTACAGCTGCTGATTCATCATTTGGGCTGGGAAACGCACCCCCACCCCACCCCCACCCCCGGGGTCCGAAGCCCTTGAGACGATGGATCTGATCCAGGGCTCTCTCTCCCAGTCAATCACACCCTGCACCCAGAGGGACCCGCTGCCTGTGGTCCCGGAACTGCACCCCAGGCTGAGCTGGGCTGGGCTTGTGATGAGGGAACAGCCCTGAGAGCCTGGTGGCCAGCTGGCACCTTAAGACAAGAATGTGTATTAAGAACATGTATACACCTTAATACAAGAATGTGTATTAAGAACATGTATACATCCTAATACAAGAATGGGGCGGGGGGGCTTGGACAGAGGGACAGATTTTCTCCCTGCTCCTTTCTGGGAGAAATGTCAGAGGAAGACCTCTGCCATTGGCTTTCTTCTACAGATGAGGGCAGACTAAGTAAGGTAAGGTGACCAGATGTCCGCTGGTGGGATAGTCCTGATTTTTGGCGTTTTAAAAGGGAACTGTCTATTTGGTCCATACAGACCACATTTTTAATCAAGAAACCACCACCAACCACCCCACCCCCCACCCCATCAATGGTGTCCCGCTTTAAATCTGGTCACCTTAGACTAAGGATGTGCCAGTGCCCCCTCATCTTTCTCTGAGCTACTGCCCATGATTCAGAGCTAGATGGATCCCACCTCACGCCGGACCAAGGAGGGTGGGGTAGCCAGGATGGATACCATCTTACACACACACACACACACACACACACACACACACACACACACACACACACACGGAAGGAGGCGGCCCTGGGCAGGCAGCATTACAGGCAGCAAGGAGTTAATCATCCTCTCCCCCTCCCCCCCCATCTATCAGCCAGCATCTCCCAAACAGACGGACAGACAAGGCAGCTGTCCAAACAGGCCTGTGTACCTGTCCACAGCCACAGAGAGGACAGGGCAGGGGCTGTTTACTCTACTCTACCCGCAACCCCCCCCCTCCCCAACACACACACACATACACACACACATATGCTTTCTTCTCTTTTCTCCTTCTTTTCTCCCTCTGTCCCTCGCAAGGATCCAGGCCATTTGCCTGCACTCCCCTCTGCGGGGACATCTCCTTTTCATGCCTACTTCTCCTGCCACCCCTTCGTTGCTCCAGGCTAGGGGGTCTTCAGGAGTTGGTAACTGAAATGGTGGGTTGGCCCAGCTGAGTCACAGTCCATGTCCACGTCCACGTGAGTTTGTGGACCGAAAGGCAAGGCACAAAGGGAGCTGAGTTCTCTGAAGGACTCCCAGCAATGCTCCCAAGTTCCCACTCTCTGTAAAGGCAGAAGCTGGCCACCTGGGAACCTGGGAACCTGGTGGATCCAGGGAGCCTGGGGAACCTGCCTGCCAAATCCCTTGGCCACAAGGCCAGCACAGGACAGGCACAAATCCTAAGGAGTGTTCCTGGGGCTCACTGACCCCCTGCCAGGGCCTACTCTGTACTCCCTTCATCACAGCTCTGCCATCTAATTGATTTGGACTCAGCGACAGTATAGGACAGAGCAGAACTGCTTCAGCAGAAAGCCTCATCTTTCTCCCAAGGAGCAGTTGGTGGCTTCAAACCACTGATCTTGTGGTTAGCAGCTCCACGCAGAGCCCACTGTACCACCAGAGCTCCTTGCTCCCTTAGCAGCTCCTCCTAAATACCTAAATGCTCGTTAAATGGCCTCATTTTCTGGCACTCAGACCAGGGTCTTCCATGCCCTCATTTCCCTCCACCTCTGCCTGAGCCCCTGTCTCTGGCAACACCTCTCCCTGCCTTTGCCCCCTCATGCAGCTCTGCTCCCCTGCCCCTTGCCTGAGCTGAGTGGTTTATAGGGGCTGGCTATGTTAGGCACTCACCCAGTCCAGCACCATGCTCTTTCCCTTCCTCCGTCAGGGCCCTCGCTCACTCCCCCAGGTCCCCTAATGCCTTTCCTTTGGGAGGCGTCAGGGGCTCCCTCCACACTTCAGCTCTTGGCCCATCCCTGCATAACCTGCTGTGGGTCTGGCTCTGAGCTGGGCACCCTGGGAAAGCATGACAGACACTTCCCTCAGCACAGATCAGAAAACCAGGCTCAGGGACAGCCTCTGGCTGAGTACGGAGCTGGGCACCCAGGACCAGGCCCGGCTCAGCTGGACAGCGAGGGAGTCACAATGGTGACCAAGTCTGTGGGCCAAGGTGCACCATGGGCCTGTGGTTTTCACCTGCCTCAGAGCTGTGTGTGTGTGTGTGTGTGTGTGTGAGAAAGAGAGAGAGAGAGAAGTGTGTGTATTATAAATAGCCCCTACTTACCTAGTGGTTCCTGAGTATAGGCCCCCTCCCTGTCCCACTTGGCAGTGGGGCCTTGAGGCTCAGAGAAGGATGCTCTTGCCCAGACATGATGCATTCTGTCCCAGGCTGTGTACCCCCCTCTCCAAACCAGACTCTGGACCCCCTCCTCGGCACCCCTACTCAATGTGACATCTTTACGGCACATGCTGGGCCTGCAAGGGCCTGGATGGGGTGGGGGTGGGGGCAGGGCAGGGTGCAGGACACCTCTCAAGTAACTGATTGTAAATTCCTGGGCCCCGGCTTTCTATCCCTAACAACCTCCTCCCGGGACTCACAGCGCCTGTCCCTTCTCAGCCAATTTAAATGAGGGGTCCCAGACCCGGGGTGTAAAGCATTCCAGACTTGGGAGAGGGGGCAACTATTGTTTCTCTGGGAAAAAAATAAAATAAAATAGAATCAACTGGGGCTCTGCAGCATCTAATCAGTGTCACATGTGCAGTGTGGTTCCCGCTAAGGACAGCCCTCTACAGGGTGTGAGCCCCTTAAGGCCCGGGTCTGGCTTCACCCTATGCCTGGGGGGAAGGCTATGAGCCCCATAATACACGCAGAGGGATGGGCTAGCATTTCCCAACTACCCACCCCCGCTGGTGCTCACGGAATCCTCCCCACCATATCCTGCTCCTGACTGATGGTCCCATCGCACAGAAGGTCCAACTGAGTCTTTTGCTCTAGGCCACCAGTCGGGTGGGTGGCAGAATCAGCAAGCTGCGGGGACAGGCAGACCCCTGGTTTGGACCTCAGAGTTCCTCTGACTCTGGGCTTTGCCCTGTCCAGGGTGGCCACTCCAGGTGAGGTATGCCAATCACCCCTTGGAAGCGGCCTGGACCCCATAGTCCTGCTGCACGCGGGTCCCTTCACAGCTGCGGCTGGTTGCCTGAGAACAGTACCGCTGGTTTTTAAAAAGGAAGATGAATTCACTTGGAAGGCCCAGCTCAGGAGGGGCTGGCAGGGGCTGGGGACCGTGACTCGGGGCTCTTCTGGTCAGAGGAGAGCGGCAGCCCAGTCAAGGGGCCTTGCTGGCTGCTGGGGGCCCAGGCTGCAGGGGGTGGCTGCCCCAGGCCTACAGGGAACTGGCTTTCTTGGCCTTCTCTCTGTCCCTGAGTAAGCCCACAGGATATTACACGGTCTTTGTGTGCCTGGTGACCCAGCTGCTGGTTATTGAAAAATTCCACTGCTCGGCACAGGGCAGGCCCGCTGACCCCTCATCCCAGGACGCGCCTATCTTTCAAAAGATACGGGATTAGAGAGCTAGACCCAACCTGGAGCAAAGCCCCGTCTGGGGTGTCTGTATGTTCTTGGCCTCTCGGGATTCTGGCTGGAGTGGGCTCTTGGCGCAGGATTTAATTAGTTGGAATCAGCCTGCGATTACTGTGGTGACTATTTACCCAGCCACTCTGCAGTCTGAGCCCCGCTCCGAACAAAGATGGGTTCCTCCGCCCGGCTGGCCAGGCCAGGGGCCCCTGGCTGCGCCTGGCCCAGCTGCCGGGGAGGGAGGGCCGCGGGCCTGGCCAGGTTTTCTGCCGGCGCACCTCATTGAGCCGATA